GGTCCTGGGGTCTTTGGCACTGCCTCCCTCTTCGTGGTTCAGATTCATAGCAGGTTCACAGAGGTACAAAGCAAATGCCAAGAAAGCGCCTGCCATGGCTTCTTCCCGAGTCTCCTAGTTGACAGGCCCAGGGGAGAGGGAGGGGCCACGCCGTGCCTGCCTGGGCCAGAGGACGGGTCAGGTTCACTGAGCCTCCCCAAGTGACTCTCACTTAGTGCCGTTTGCAGTCACCCCACGGGAGGCGCCACCACTGCACCCACTTCACTGAGGACCAAGTGACTATCCAGCCGGGAAGTGGCGGAGCCAGCTGTCTGTCCCAGCACCACGCCCACCCCCTCCGTGGGGCCAACAGGAGCGGCCCCAGCCCCTCCGAGAAGGGGCGTGTGGTGCTGCTACACTCAGTCTGTGAGGGGCCCATGCCATCATCTGTCAGCCCTGATGCTGTCAATGGGGTTTGCGCCTCCAGCCACCCCTTTCCCAGGGCCTCTAGCTGTCGAAATGTCTGGTTTTAGCAGCCTTCAGACCTTGGCAAGTGGGAAGGGGAGAGGGGGGAGAGGGGGGAGAAAAGAGAGGCCAGCAGCTCCAAGACCTCTCTGCATCCTGGGGCTGGGATTTGGAGACATGTTTCCAGAAGTTCTTTATGGGCAGCAGTGGCCAGGCTGGTTTGCGTCAACGCTGATGTGCTTGTTGAAAAAGAGACTGAAAATCCCAACCCTTGGTTTTCACAGCCCGGCTCTGACGCAGCTGGAGACGGACGGCGCCCTCGCGAGCCCGGGTCGGGCTGGGATCAGAGTGGCCCTGCTCCTTTGCCCGCTCACCTCCAGCTGCACCCGTTTCACACTGGAACCCAAAAGGGAGTGGGAGCACCCCTTCCTCCAACCTGCTTGGGTTTCAATAAGCTTCTGTTACCATTTTAACATCTCCTTAAAGATCTTAAGTTATAAACACAGGAAGATAGATGGACTTTGCTGGAACTACTGATGATGGCCAAGGGGTCTGCCTGGCAGGAACAAGGGCAGCAGGTGGGCACTCGGGAGCCCACTGAACTGACGGGTCCGCCTGCCCTGCACAAGGGTCCTGCGGGTCCAAGGGAGAAAGATGCTCTGAGCGGTGGGCCGAGCAGCGTTAATGTGAAAGGAAGTTTCCGCTGGGCTTCGCCAGGCAGCAGGACAGACACGTTCCGGCAGGGAAAAGGTGCCTGTGGAAGGGACTCAAGGTCCCACTGCGCTGACCACAGTGGACAAGACTCAGGGCAGGTGACCCTCTGACGAACAGAAGATAGGACCACCCTGAAGACGGGCAGCCAGAGGGAAATGCCAGGTGTGTTTGTTGCAAAGGCAAGAAACAAAGGCAGAGGAGGCCGGGGTCCCTTGGGCGCGGCAGGGCGGGGCAGAGCGGGGACACAGGGAGAGATGGGCAGGAAGGAGTGGGGTTCCCTCCAGCTAGACAGCCAGCAGGGCGAGTAGACCCCTGGGCTCCAAGTGCGGGGGCTGGTGGGAGGGCCTCAGCCACAGAAGAGAGACCAAACCTCCAAGGCGGGGACATTGGGCCAGGGCCCCGCAGTGATATCGCAGGGCAGGGGGCTGTGTGCTGGCCTCAGAGGCATCCAGGGGGCATGATCTGGGGTCCCAAGTCACAACAGGGCCAGGCCAGGTGAGAGACAAGCATCGCGAGAAAGACCCACAGGCTGAGCACACCTGTGCCTGGTTCTCACCAGGAAGGGAGAGCAGTCCTGGGTGTAGGGGCGGTTTGTTAGGAACTGGGAACTGTCCTCTGTCGACTTTAACAGCTTTCAAACACTGCTCCTCCCTTTCAGTTTTTCTCACTTGTTTCCTTGGTTTAGAGTAGAAACAACTTAGCGAGTGGCTGTTTACTCATTAAGACCTGGGTGCCAGCAGATCGAGGCAGGGACAAGGACACAGCAGCGGGAAGGAAGGTGGTCCCAGTGGAGAGCTGGCACGAGGGGACAGTCCCCAAGGGGACTAACTGCTGGACCAGGGCAGTGCACCGACAGAGGCCATGCCTTTCAGCAGGCCTTGGGAGCACCAGGCTTCTCAACACGCCCCAGCCTGAGGCCAGGCCTGGGGATGCCACTGAGGCCTCCCTCTGCCTCATTTGGCAGGTAGCAAACTCAGGCCTGGACAGGCCACCAAGCAGGAGCCCTCGGGCTTCCTGGGTCAAGGGCATTGTCCTGTCATGCCAGAGGGGGCCGTCACTCAGTGGGACTGACTGAGAGTCGTGAATGGCGTGTTCACACTGGAGCCTAGCACTCGGCACATAGTAGCTGCTCAGTAAATGTGTCTGGAGACTTGACACTGTGGTCGGCCTGGTGCCATTCGATTCTTCCAACCAGCAGCGCTGCAGCGGCACACGCACAGGACAGCCCAGAAGAAGTGGCAGGGAGGGCAGGGGACTAACCCAGGGTCACGACGTGCAAGTAGGGACACAGCACTGGCCTCTGTTCAGACACGGTAGCTGTCCACCCGGAGCTTTGCTGGAGCAGATAGCACCCATGGGAGCCACCCTTTGGAGAAAGTGTGGAATGACAGCAGTGGGGTGACTTGGGGGACAGAGCAGAAAGAACGCAGGAGCCACAGGACAAATGATCAGACAGGACGACAAAACCCACGTGCCACCATGCCACACACCCGCCTTCTCTCCTCCCTCCACACCCTCTCCTCGGAGGCAACGTGGGGTCTGTGTCCGTGACCTTTCCCAGAGAGGACGGGATGGAGACAAGGGCGACAGAACCCGGCGGCGTGCGGGGGAACGTCAGAATTAATCTGGCGTTTGGGGCTTTGAGAAAACTCAGCCCTCAGTGGAAAGAGCCCTCAGCGGAGAAAGAAACATCTGGAGTAGGGACAGAGCTGCTGGTGTGGAGTCCCGGGGGAGTGGGAGGTGACCAGGGTCCAGCACACGCTTGGAAACCCTTGGCCACGCTACAAGTCCAGGTCTGAGCTTCCAATAGTGACAACAAGGGGAGAGGCCACGGAGCAAGGTCAAGGATGAGTAACGGACACCGCAGGGAGGGCAGAGGTTTAGAGACCATGGCCCACTTCCTCCTCACCTGTGTCAGCTAAAGGACATTTACGGGTCAGAGAGCCACACGGTGCCGCCACGCTCTGGTGGCATCCCCAGCTCTGTTTGCTGAAGATGTTACACCGCTTCACATACTGGCAGCCCCACCCAGGGCAGCCCAAGGACTCACTCAAGATCATAGAAGTGGCGGCATCAGCACGACCCCAGACCTGGCCCCTCCCAAGGCCACGGCCTGCCTCGCAAACGCAGGTGCCCCGGGTCTCCCAGAGCCACCCACAGGCTGCTTTCCTGGAGGTCACTGCAACCTCAGGTGTGTTGCCCGGGGAAAACCACCCTGCCCACAGTGACGGCAGAGCAGCTGGCAAAACTCCGAGCTCACTGTCCGCCCTCTGACCCTGTCCCCCTACACCCACTTCAGCCGAGCCTCTTGGGAGTCCTCTGGTAAGGAGCTGTCACTCTCGACCTGGCAACATATCATGGCGCCTCTTTGAAAAGCTGAAAATGGCTGATCTTTGACACTTTCTCTGGCAGGGCAGACAAGAATGCACCAGTGTGTGTGTGTGTGTGTGTGTGTGTGTGTGTGTTTGCCTGTGTTTTCCCATGTGTTTGTGTGTTTTACATGCTTGTTGTATGTGAATCCAGGTGCACACTGGAGGGGGGGATATTCAGCAAAGGGCTGAATACCTTCCTGTGGGGAGGGTGTTACAAATTCCTGCGCAGTCCCAGGTGCCCAGTCCTGGAAGGCAGGGACTTGGGTGGAGTCCTGTGCCTGTCTCTGCTCACCTGCCCATACAGATGCCTTCTGTCTCCCGCTGTCTGGTTCTGTTAAAGCGGATGACAGTGGGGGGAGGGGAGGCTGTGCTTTTCACTTCTCCAGGATCAAAACTGGGGAGGAGGTGAGAGCGAAGTGGCTTGTGGGCAAGTCCATCGCTGGTGGAGGCACGTCTGAGAACCAGAGAGCCCTGCACCGGCTCTGGGCCTGACTGGGCATCCCGCCCCGGCTTCCCAACCGGGGTGCTCCTGGGGAAGAGCAAGGTGACAGACACAATGTGCAGCTGACGTCTGGAAGGGTGGTCTCACTATGGCTTTTCCATGAGGGGAGTGGATGGGGGGCTAAGAAAGCCCCCCTCCAAGCCAGCTCACTTATTGTCCCTCTCAGCCAATCAGAAGCAGGGATCAGGACTCTCTGGACCCATGCCAGGGGCTTAGAAGAGGTAGGGCCACCAACAAAAGGTCCGCTCTGGATGCCTCTCCTGTGGGACTCAAGTTGGTTAAGGACACGACATTAGGAGAGCTTCATGTCTCCAGAGGAGGGCAGATGGACAGCAGAGCCCATCCAGCAGGCCACCCAGCCTTTCTGCGGGCCCAGGAGGTAGCGCCGCCCCAGTCGGCCCCTATACTGTCAGAGCTGACCACCTGAGGGAAATGGGGACAGGGACACAGACAAGCAGCTGGGAGCAGCCCCCGCTGTGCCACCGCACCTGCTCCCCACGGCCGGGAAGCTGCACTACCGCGCAGGGGGCGGCTTGCTCCGGCGCCCTCCATGTGAGGGGACCCGTCCGCAGGTCTGACCACCACCTCCACGGCATCTGCCCTGGGATCGTTCCGCCGGAAATGGAGTGGGTTAACCTACCAGCCTCGGAACGTACAAACTCAACCTACTCAGATTTGTTACAAAGAAAGCTCTGCCCATGAAATCTTAAAAGTATCGCCCTGCGAATCGCCCCCTCCCACCGCGGTCCAGTTCTTGGGGAGACCCGCCCCGCAGAGCCCTGCCGCCCCCTGCCGAAGTTGTCGGAGACCACAGTCCGGACCACGGACCAGGGTCCCCCCGCCTGCCGCCAGCGCCGCGACCCCCGGCGCTGGCACCGGGGGAGGGGCCGACGCTGCGGGCTGGCAGGGCTGAGAGGGGGAGTCGGGAGGTGCCCCGCGGCCGTGCGGGGGGCGGTGGGAAGGGCTACCTTCTGAATGCGTCCGTCGATGTCCAGGTAGATGGCCTTGGGCCGGTAGCTGGAGGGGCCGGATCCCATCTTGCGCCGGCGGCTGCACTTGGACTTTTTACTGTACTTTCTCGACGCCAGCGGCGCGGGGAGGGCGGGGAGGAGGAGGGGGCGGGGGCGGGCGGCGGAGGACCGGGGCCCAGCCAACCAGAGCGCGGCCGCGCACCGGGCCGCCCGGCCGCCGCCTCCGCTGCGCGCGTCTGCGGCTCGCGCTCCTCCTCCCGCCGCTGCCTCCCTCCTCCCTCCTCCTCCTCCTCCCTCCCCTCTCTCCCTTCTCCTCCTCCCTCCTCCCTCTACTTCCTCCCTCCTCCCCCATCTCCTTTCCCTCTTCCCCCTTTCCTCCCCTCCCCCTCCCTCTTCTCCTTCCCCAAACCCTCTCTTCATCCCCCTCTCCCCTTCCCCCTCCTTCTCCCCTTCCTCTCCCTCCTCCCCTTTCTCCCCCTTATTCTCCCCCTCCCTCCCTCCCTCCCTGCTCTCCACTCCCTTCTCCTCCTTCCCACTTTAAGAGACAATCTCCTCTTCCTTTGGACTCGGGCCGCCTTGCTGAGAGGACCAAATGGGCATCGTGTCTACATGTGCCCTCTGGACAAGCGCCCACAGCTAGGGACACTTGTGAGCAGATTCCCATAGCGACCCCTTCTGGCGGCAGGGCTGGTCACCTCCTCCTACAGAGAGTTGCCCGTAGAGACCTCCCCCGGTGGACAGTCGGTCCTCAGCCAGCACCTGGCTGGCATAGGACCCTGAGCTGTTTGTGGTCATGAAGCAAACCCAAGCAGCACTGAGCACTGGGAAAATTCTCCTAGGTTCCCTTCTGCCTGGTCAATTAATTTGCACGGGAAATGGGACAAGTTTCTTCTCATTCGGGCGCATCCTTCCCCTAAGTTTTCCAAAGGTTCTTGGGAGTGAGAGCCTCTTCTATCTGCCCCAGGGCTGACATGGGGATTTTTTTTCTGTCCTTAATGTAGCCAGAGCAAGGACTTCCCAGCCCTGGGCTGTTTTCTGGTTTCAGCACTCGTCTACCCCTCCCCCTTATTGACTGTCACACGGAGCGTGGGGCAAGCAGGAGGGGAAAGGAGGGATATCAGGCAGCTGTGACCTGAAAACCACATTGGGGACGCCTGAGGCTTCCCAGTCCTCCGGAGGCTCGCCCAGGGGGAACGTGGTGCAGGGAGGGGGGAGGGGGTGTCCGGGCAGCTTACTGTTTCCTTCTAAGCGAGTCCCACGCCACCACCTTGCTTCCATTGCCTGTCTGGATTTTGCACTGTCCCTGGCTTTCCAGATTCCTGGTCCAGGGCCACCTGGAGCATGGGCCAAGGCTGCGGCCCTGGGGAAGGTGGGGCTCATCATCCTCAGGTGAAACATCTTCTTCAGGCCTTGGGCAGCCCAGCATGTGTCCTTTGTGTCCCTTGCTGGCTCGTGGGGGCTCTCAAAGAATGATGCTGGCTTTGCCTCCAGAGCAGTGGCGGGACCCCAGGCACCCCGGGCACCCTTGCTTTGCAAGTAACTGGGGGTGAGAAGGGGGCAGCCAGGAGGCCTTCGAAGTGTGTGTGTGTGTGTGTGTGTGTGTGTGTGTGAACCCAGTCCTCTGGTCCAGTGAGTCCCCTGATGATGTGTCCCCCGCACAGTGGAGCGAGCACGACGATCATGTTGGACTTTGCTGTTGAATGTTCTGGAGCCGTCTGGGCCAATCCAGCCGCCGATTTGTGGGGCTGGAGCACCGCTGGCACAGAAATCTCCCTGCCCGGCAGATGGCTCATTCATGAGGTTGGAGAATTCGTTTATTCTCCACATGTTATTGTCATCTGGCCCAGCCCCCTTGAATCTTCTCCTCCTAGCACCCTGGGAAGATGAGCCCCCGGACTCGGTGGCTGGACGGGGTGGGGCCGTGCCCATGCCCGTGGCAGCCCGGGGGCCAGGCCTCTTACACCGCCTGGCTGGTTCTGTATTCAGAATGCAGAGTGTAACTGCTCCCCTAAGTCTCGGACTGACTAGACTGCTGTGCGGGTGTTCAACCAGTCACATAGCAGTCCTGGCCTTGACCTGTTCCCGGTGGAGCTGCAGTGACCCTGGCGGCCAGGGGCTCTGTCCTTACCACGTGCTGGTGCTGCTCTAGGCATCGTACACTGGCCAGAGAACACAAACACCTGTCCTGGCCTGGGGGGGGGGCGTTTTAGTGGGAGACAGGCTGATGGACTAAATAAATAGGACATGTCGCTGGGTGGATAACGATTAGCACAGAGGAGAAGAGGCACGCAGAGAAAGAGCCACAGAATGTGGAGTGTGGGAAGCAAGCAGAGGTGTCGATGAGAGGAAAGAACCTTCTAGCAAAGGGAGCAGGCTCAGGCCCCAGGTTCCTAATGTGGGAGGCCAGTGTGGCTGGAGCGGAGGGAGGGTTGAAAGGGGAATGTCGCAGGGTGTGAGGTCAGGGGGGTGGGCGGTGGTGGGGGATGCAGGCACTAGCTCCACCCAGTCAGAGTCCAGGCAGGAGGCTGAGCAGGGGCAGAAGTGGTCTCTTCCAGTTCTAAGAGGGTCCTCCTGCCCTGGGCCTGGGCGGGCAACGCCCTGGTGGGGAGGGGCTGCAGAGGGAGGCCAGTGACAGGATAAGAAGTGGTGGAATCTGCATCCGATTTGGAGACTGTCCGAGTCTTTCATTTCTGCTCATTTGTTGGGCTGAGGCTGTTCTGCTTTTGGCTCTCCTTCCTTCTCAACAAAATGTGGTTTTGCCTAAATTTATGCTCCTTCATCCCTCAGGGCCTTGGGGTCAGGTTCCAGGAACCAGCCCTCGGGTGCCCATGACGTTAGCTTGAGGATCCCCCGCTGCATCTGGGCCCACATTCCTGATCCTGGCCTGGCCACCAGGAATGCGGCCGATGTAAGTTCCCAGAATCATATGGTCTGGGGGCTGGGGGCTCGGGGCTGGGAGCCTCAGGGGAGATTTGCAGGTCTGGGTGGCCTCTTAGCCCAGTTTTGCACAGTTTCTGAGAAGCTGAGTCCTGGGGAAGCTCCAGGGAGGGAAGTTTCCCACTGTCTGGGACGAAGGTGTGAGATCCCACCCACCTGCATGTCACAGGGAAGGGGGTGGAGGTGCAGGAACTCCTGGGGATGTGGAGCCAGCAGGCTGCTGAGAGCTGGAGCCGGTGGCCTCTGCATCCCACCCCTCTGCAGGCTGCAGTTTCTTCCGGGACCATCTTGCTTGCCCCCTACACAGAGCTCACCCTTTAATGGCCACAGAGCCCGGGCTGAGGCTGAGCTCAGAGCCACCTTCGGCAGCTGTCACCCCAGCAGGGTCACTGTCATGTTGCAGAAAAGAGGGACCTTTCTGAGGGCAGGCAGCCCACAGCTGGGTTTGCGGAGACCCTGCTTCCTGAAGCTGCTGTTGGGGACGTCCAAGTGATGGCAATGGCACTGGAGTCTTGCCCATGACACATGGTTCTAGGGCCAAATTATTTAAATACATGAGTATTGGTAATAGTTCACAGTCAAGAAAAAAGAAAAAAAGGGGCAGGGTTGCCCTACTGTTAAGATCTCATTTTTCTAGCATCTGCAGTTTGTAAAATAGACCACGTCACACGTAGTTGCTTGTTTTCTGGGAAGCAACAGAAGAAATGCCCTGCCTTCTGCCCCTACAAGGATTCAAAGGCTCCTCCTCTTGACCTTCATAAAACCTTGGTTTTTGGGTGACATGCGAGGGTGAGAGAACTCTTAGAATCCAAGATAGGGAACTTCTGGTACATTGGACAGGTGGGTGCTCAAGTAATTAAGCACAAATTTAAAAGAGGCATAGCCACAAACTTTAAGTTTACAGAAACATTTCTTTCACTGAAATATATACCAGCTCTGGCCCCTAAAACCAGCATTCAGTACATTTTTATAGCACCCCAAGCACCGTGGAGGCCACCAAAATAAATAGCACACAGCTGCCTCTTTAAGAAGCGCGCAAAGAAGCTGGACTTCCAGGGCCTGAGGACACGTGCCATTAGCGAATCGTGGAGCACGGACCGGCACACAAATCAGGCTTCATGTCCTGTTTCTAGAGATGAGGCCATCCGCGTGCAGCTGATTCCAGGGACAATGGTGGGCTCACTGCTCAGCCAAGCCCGAGGCAGGCAGGGACCTGGGTTCCTGGCACAGCCCCAACGCCAATGTAGAATCTGGAGCTGCTCCCTGTGGCCACCTTGGGAGCCCCTGCAGCAGACAGGATGAGGACAGACTGACGCCCCCCATGCTCTCCCCGTACTGTTCCAGAGCCCAAAGGAAAAGAAACCAGCCTGTTGGGTTGGTGTCTGGCAGGCGGCCATCTCCCCCACGCCGAAGAACTGAGGAAGTGAGGTGACTCAGAAACGAGGGCTGGCAGGCAGGCCGCTGCTTCTGCGACAGGTGTCAGGACCTCTCCCTGATCACTGGGCCCGAAGGAGGCAGACCCGCGCTTCACCTCGCCCCACTCGTCATATTCGGGGCCTTCGTCCGTCCTCAGGGACCACGTTGCACTTCGTTCCCTTCACCATGAACACAGCCCTGCAAAACCAGAACGAGCCCTTCCGCTCTGCCTGACTTCTGATCACCAGGAACCACAGTCTAGAGAGTTGGCATCTTTTTGCAGTTAAAGAGTCATAAGCCCCCCACCCAAGTGTCCCTTTGTGACACTCACATACAGCTGTGGAGCTCCTAACAGGTGAACTGGCCTGAGGTCCCGCCAAGGTCACTTGGGAGCCCATTCGTGGCCAGGCAGTATGACAGCAGCTGGTCAGCACGGTCTTTGCAACGGATGGGGAAAGATGAATTGAGCGTGGCCACAGTCCACGTTCAGACACTGGAGATGTTGACGTGCCACTGGGTGCGGGGACAGGTGAGCCCAGCCTTAGAGAGGCCCCCCCTTCCCGGCACACAGGGGCAAGCTGGCCTGGGCTGTCTCCAGCTGAGCCCCGCAACTTGCTGCATGGAAGCCCAGCTACAGAGCATGGCCATGCAGCCTCGCTGTGCTCTTCTCGGCCTCACGGTGTCTGGGGCTGCGGCTCCGAGGGGCAGATGGGAAGCACATTCCTCCTGGGGCTGGATGGGGAAAGAGGCCTCCTGAGGTCAGCGTGAGACAGCTCTTTCCCTTCAGAAAGTCAGAAAAGCCATTTTAGC